AAGGTGAACTATGTGAAAGTGAACTTTATCCAAGTGTACATTTAGGTAATTCAGTATGCTTTAAATACAAAAAAACACTGGTATAGTATACATAGAGTATAGTCTTGTGAATAAAAACATATATTCATACTGAGATAGGATTGTTGTAAAAAAGTTAAACAGAATGCTGCAAATACATCATCATACACAGTTATACGCTATGTTGTTTTATTTATGATTGGTTCAGCAGATCATCCCCCTTTTTTTGCCAGAATGCTGCAAATAACAGATAAAATAATTCATGATAAAATTTTTCATAATAAAATTTAATTTAGGTTATAAAAAATTATAAAAAAATATATAAATCAAAGTCAACATTCAGCCCATTTAGGCTAAGCCATCATTATAAGCATGGAGATGTGACATATACGCTTACTTCTTATGCCCCTCCTTCGTTGGAGTTGTTTGGACATTTGATGGATGCGCCTGTTTCTGAACGTTGTGTGTGTTCCACAGTAGCGCAATAATAATACATGAACTATTATATGACGCCGAGTCATTTCCGGTATGACGCGTGTATGGGTCATTTCCGGTATGACGTGTGCGTTTCAACTGGAACCAGGAAACAGGAAGAGACACATCAGGAAGTAATTTACGAATTTAGAAGCATATATAAACGGAACCCAGGGAAAGCTTTACCACACTTCTGAAGAAGCCTTATTAGGACGAAACGCTGCTATTTCTTTTTACATATACTACGCATACTGCACTTTGGAAATACCTGTGTTAACCATAACAAGATATCCTGAGACGGGGATCGTACCGTCCAAGCGCATCACAGTTGAGCTCTGTTGTAGCTCATATAAATATGAGTGGATTCTGTATAGTTATATTCACCACTTCACGATATAAGTTTACTGTATTGCACTATTATTTTTTATCTGATTTTCTTCCGAGTTTTAATCCATTGGAAATACTTGGGAATATATGTACGTACATTTTGTATATATATAAACTATTAGGCGTGGTATACGCCTCTTTTTGTCTTCTCTATCTATCCACAAGGTTTTGGGAATCCTTGTTCTGTATACTGCTGCCTGTCTATAATACACTATAGTGAACACCTATTACCCCTTCTTTTTTGCAAGAAGGATATATACCTCTGCATGCAGTATTGAATGACACAGGAGTGAAGACACTACGAGACATCACAGATGGAAGAGCACCTACGCTAATGCACCAATTCCACTATGCTCAACTAAAACATTTCTACTATAACCTACCACACAGAACCAGAATACATAGAGACCTAACCTGGTATGAAACACTCTGCTCCCCCACCCCGGACACTGAAGGCACGGTCTCCATCATATACCAACACCTAATCACAGGAGAATGAGTGAAGAAAGATATGTTCAAGAGGCAATGGGAAGAACTAACAGCCAGGACCTTTTCTGACGGCCAATGGGAAAAAATACTCCTGCTACAGCACAAAAATTTAACCAGCTCCCACTTCCAGGAGGTAAACTATAAACTGTTATCGCACTGGTACCGTACACGTCCCTGCTACAACAGATCATCCCAGCAATTTTGGATACCTGTTGGAGATGCGAAGAAGAGATCGGAACTCTCTGACACATCTGGTGGGACTGCAGAAAAATTAAACCGCACTGGGAAGAAATAGAGCAAGAAATACAGAACATACTGGGAGACCCCTCACACTTGACCATGGAAACAGCATATAACAATATCCCTCACTAGCTATGCAACTCAAACATTCAATAGGATTAAAGTGGTCCGCAAACCCACGCAGAAGTCTTTATATGATGCAATTCAAAAGAAAAAAGACAAAATGTCTTATAAACAACATATTTAAGAGAGAGATAAGGAATAAGAAGCAACAGGAAAATATCCATTCCCTAATCTCTGATTAGTTTTTACCTCTCCTAGCCACAAATAGTGGAATTGTGCATGTACACCCTGTTCCAAATTATTATGCAAAGATTACATTTTTTGTTTTTCAGTTTAACTCATGGATGGCATTGTGTCTCAGGGCTCTTTTGATCATTGAAAACAATCTCGGACACCTGTGATAATTAGATTGCCAGGTGATCCCAATTTAAGGAAAAACTACTAAAGGATTATTAAGCAGAGCACCATTTTCATGCAATATGGGGAAGAAAAAGGATCGCTCTGCTGCCGAAAAGAGTGAAATAGTTTAATGCCTTGGACGAGGTATGAAAACATTAGATATTTCACGAAAACATAAGCGTGATCATCGCACTATTAACCCCTTAAGGACGGAGTCAAATGTACACGTTGTGAACAAAACAAAATGTAAACAAAACCTGGCATTTGCGCTACATGTCTGTCCAACCGTAATTCACCTCTTTCATATTAAATGCACCCACCCTTATTATATATCATTTTATTCAGGGGAAACAGGGCTTTCATTTAATATCAAATATTTAGCTATGAAACATAATTTAATATGAGAAAAATGGGAGAAAATAAGATATTTTTGGGGATTTTTTTTAGTTCTACATGACATTTTAACTGTCAATGTCATAATACTGTTTGCTTTTACTGCAATACAATACACATATTTGTATTCAGCAAAGTCTCACGTGTAAAACAGTACCCCCTATGTACAGGTTTTATGGCGTTTTGGGAAGTTACATGGTCAAATATAGCACGTTACATTTGAAATTGAAATTTGCCAGATTGGTTACGTTGCCTTTGGGACTTTATAGTAGCCCAGGAATGAAATTTACACCCATAATGGCATACCATTTGCAATAGTAGACAACCCAAGGTATTGCAAATGTGGTATGTCCAGTCTTTTTTAGTAGCCATTTGGTCACAAACACTGGCCAAAGTTAGTGTTAATATTTGTTTGTGTGAAAAATGCAAAAAACACCAATTTTAGCCAGTGTTTGTGACTAAGTGGCTACTAAAAAAGACTGGACATACCCCGTTTGCAATACCTTGGGTTGTCTACTATTGCAAATGGTATGCCATCATGGGGGTAATTTTCATTCTTGGGCTACCATAGGGTCTCAAAGGCACCGTAACCAATCTGGCGAATTTTTTTTTTTGTAAATATGTTTTTATTTCGGTTTATATTGTCGAGTATTAGTCACACTGAGACTCGCAGGTCTCCGTAAGCCTTTAGGGCACAATAAGCTTTTTTATATCGGCCAACCGGGCGCGCAGGCCCACAATTGCGGTGGACTCGCAGGTCCCTTACAGCATGCTGTTCCTGTCCCTAAGCTGATGTGACGTTTGCATTCAGTTGCCCCGTTTGTTAAGTCACATTATGCGAACTTCAGTGTGGACTCGCAGGTCCACGTAGGGTGGGACATGAGCAGCCTTTGGAAAGGAATGACGGTCTGCAAAACCAGCATTGGTGACGTGCGGGTCACCATATAGCGGGTGTTATAGTCGGGTGTCGGGCCCGTGAGTCTCGTTGCAGTAAGGCGGTCAGGTATTACCTCTAGTAAACGCTAAGGTGTTAGGGTGGGTCCGCTGGCCCCTCTGAGCCCAGCGTTAAGTCCCGTGGCCTGATCTGGAGAACGTGCACGTGGGTGTCATACGTTCTGTTGTCCCCTCATGGAGGAGTGAGCGTCTTCCCGGATGCCTTATAAATCTTCTCTTATGTTGTCAGTGGCGTATGCCAAGTGCCTGTCTGTTCGCACTCAGTGTTTGGGGTTGGGGGGGATGTCCGGGTAGTGGCGTCTGGGGAGGTGGGGGGTCAGGGTGCGTCCGCGTCTGGGTTACGTCTGTCGAGGTCGTCTCTGTATTTGTCGGTCTATGCGGCTTCGTCACTGTGTCCTTATGTGCCGTATTGGAGCCTGGTTGTGAATTCTGCCTTGGTAGTAGTCAGTATCCAGTGGGTCCATATGTCCGTGTACCTATTCAAGGAGTTGGGCAATCTGGCGAATTTTAATGTGAAAAAAATGAAACACAAGCCTTATATTTGACGCTGTAACTTTTGAAAACACCATAAAACCTGTACATGAGGGGTACTGTTGTACTCGTGAGATTTCGCTAAACACAAATAATTGTGTTTTAAAACAGTAAAAAGTATCACAGTAATAATATCGTCCATCGTTGTAATACACTTTACTGTTTTGAAACACTAATATTTGTGTTCAGCGAAGTCTCCCGAGTAGAACAGTACCCCCCATGTACAGGTTTTATGGTTATGAGGTGAAATATAGTGCTAGCAAATTAAATTCCCTTTACTTTCGGCATGGGTTGTCAGGCAGGTCCCACTAATTGTAATTAATTAAGATACCTAATTATGTAAAAATATTGCATAAATATATATGTAGAATTAATATATGTATATATATATACGTATGTGAATCTATATGTGTATATATATATAATTTTTTTTAAATATTTTTATTTATATATAGGTATATATAGTGATATATACGTACATATTTATGTATGTAGATATATATATTATTTCGTTCTACATGTATTTTGATATAAATATATATATATTAATATCACAATACAGTTAGAACGAAATAACACACATATATGTGTATATATATACTTAGATCATATATATATATATATATATGTACATACATATACATTTTTTTTTTTTACACTTTTTAATTTATTTTATTTTTATTTTCAGCCAGCAGGGGGACCACCTGTCATTACAGGCAGCTTTGTGGCTGATTCAGAGCACAGACAGGTTCGTGCAGATAAAGACACATTGAGGAAGATTTCTTCCAGATCCATGCATCGGATCAAAAGAGTAGCTGCTAAAATACCATTACATAGCAGCAAACAGATATTTGAAGCTGCTGGTGTCTCTGGAGTCCCACGGACATCAAGGTGTAGAGTCCTCCAGAGTCTTGCAACTGTGCATAAACCTTCTATTCGGCCACCACTAACCAATCCTCACAAGCAGAAACGGCTGCATTAGGCAGAAAAATACATGAAGACTAATTTTCAAACAGTCCTGTTCACTGATGAGTGCTGTGCAACCCTGGATGGTCCAGATGGATGGAGTAGTGGCTGGTTGGTGGACGGCCACCCTGTTCCAACAAGGCTGCGACGTCAGCAAGGTGGTGGTGGAGTCATGTTTGGGGCCGGAATCATGGGAAGAGAGCTGGTCGGCCCCTTTAGGGTCCCCAAAGGTGTAACGATGACCTCTGCAAAGTATGTGGAGTTTCTGACTGACCACTTTCTTCCCTGGTACAGAAGGAAGAACTATGCTTTCCGTAATAAAATCATCTTCATACATGACAATGCACCATCTCATGCTGCAAAGAATACCTCTGCATCAATGGCTGCTATAGGGATAAAAGGAGAGACCTCAATCCTATTGAGAACCTTTGGAGCATCCTCAAGCAAATGATCTATGAGGGTGGGAGGCAATTTACATCCAAACAGCAGCTCTGGGAGGCTATTCTGACATCTTGCAAACAAATTCAAGCAGAAACTGTCCAAAAACTCACAAGTTCAATGGATGCAAAACTTGTGAAGCTTCTATCAAATAAGGGGTCCTATGTTAAAATGTAACGTGACCTATTAAAATGTTGTTATAGGTTTGATTGAAATAGCTTTTGATTTCAGTAAATATGCTGCAAATACAACAAATGACAATTTTCAGTTCTTTACAACCTATAAAGTATTTTGAAACTTACTGTGCGTAATTATTTGGAACAGTGCAAATAAGGGGTCCTATGTTAAAATGTAACGTGACCTGTTAAAATTTTTAAAAGGTTAAAATGTTGTTATAAGTTTGATTGAAATAGCTTTTGATTTCAGTAAATATGCTGCAAATACAACAAATGACAATTTTCAGTTCTTTACAACCTATAAAGTGTTTTGAAACTTACTGTGCGTAATAATTTGGAACAGTGCATTGTAAGTTTTTTATACTGTTATCATTAGGAGGTTTGTTCAATAAAATTTGAATTGTACTTTTAATTGTTGATAACATGAGAATTATGCTGACTGTTATTTACATCAATTATTTAGGTAAATGAGAAAAATATCATTTGCATAATCATTTGGAACAGGGTGTATGTACAAAATAAGTATGTCCCTCTATGCAAGGTGTTTCACTTGCTATGTTTTGAACCATGTAAATATGTTTTATGCCACTATATTCACTTTATAATTATTTGTATTTAAAATTTGAAATATGCATGTCACCATATGCACTCATATATTACTTGTACTATTTGTGCATTTTAAATTACAATTGGTTAGAATTGTTTATTCATCTCAGATCAATCCCCTACTAGTTATTTTTATTTATTGCTTATGTGTACTATAATGTCTTATTTGAATATCAACAATACAATTCATCCGAAACTGGAATTTAAATATCACTGGTCAACAGTATTAAGACTACTGTGACACTAAGTTCCGTTTTCTCCTTTCCCATACTTTGCCCACAAACGACATGGCTGAAATCTACTGATGGGATGAAAGAAATGAAGCGTGACGTTACTTCCGCCGGATGCCCGGTCTTATCTGAATTAACTATTAAAAGGTGGACTCTACACACTAGAGAGTGGCGCAAACCACCGATTTAAACCCTCTTGCCACAGTCCGCTACAGGTATCAATCGGTTGGAACGCAGCTGCACCAGTTTGGCTCCGTATGCGTTCCACCGCAGAATGCATAGATTACCACTGTATATAACGCTGCGTCACTTCTGGTGTGACACGTGCATTCCAACAGTGGTCACAGGAAACATTAAATGAAACTTGTAGCACATCAGGAAATAATCACCACTAATAGACTGCCTATATAAATGAAAGCTGACAGGACTTATCCCACACTTCTGAAGAAGCCTCTACACGTGAAACGTGTAAAGTGGGACCCTTTTGAAGATACTTCACACAGATTTTATTATTTTTTGTTAATAAATGGTAAATTTATAATCTTTTAAAATTTACTCTATACCTTCATTTTTTATTTCCTGGATACCATCATATTCCCAAGTGGGGATTACACCACCTTTGCTGTATACACTAGAGCAAGTTCTGCTCTAGTAAATGTGAGTACATTACTTTATTATTTTTTTCAACATTTGTAAGTACATACTTACTCACTATTGGAATATCTCTCTATGTTTCTCTACATATGATCTGCATACTGCACTTTATCTGAGACTACCTGAGACGCCAATATCTTCAGATATCCTTAGACGGGGATTGTTCCGTCTATGCGCACTACAGCAGAGCTCTAAGTTAGCTCTGGTAAATGTGAGTGATACTATATACAATTACTCCAACACCTACTCACTGAATATACCGTATTGCACTATTTGTTTCTTTATGTCCCTTTGTTTTTGAGGTCTATTGTATGTACAAGACCACGAAAGATTCTTGTACGTATATAAGTTTTAATCATACAGCCTAGAGCGCGGTCTCCTCCTCCTTTTTCTTTTTACCACAATACTCACAAGGTTGGGAATCCTTGTATTGGTTACTGCTGTCCACTATTATCCTAATCTTATCACTATAGAGAGCGCCTAACTCCCTTCTTTTACACCAAAACAACTTTAGCTTATTGAAGCAATTTTGGTGTAGAGATCATCTCCCTGCAGTGTCCAATTCACTGCCATTTAGGAGTTAAATCACTTTATTTATGCACCCTATTTAAACCTCCCTGCATGTGACTTGCACAGCCTTCCTAAACACTTCCTGCAAAGAGTCAGCTAATGTTTACACTTCCTTCATTGCAAATTCTATTTAATTTAAAATGTATTATCCCCTGCACTGTTGATAGCTTGCTAGATCCCACAGAATTATGTGTATGATTAAAGTTCACTTTCGAGAGCAGACAATAAAAACTTTTAAAGTAAGTTACATCTAATTGAAAGTGAAACCATTTTTTTTCCATGCATGGTGTGTGAGTCACAGCCAGGGGATTTGTGACTAGGGCTGCATGTACAGAGACAAAAAGGGATCTAACTCCTAAATTTCAGAGATTTGAGCAGTGAGACTGCAGGATCATGATCTATACACTAAAACTGCTTCCTTAAACTAAAGTTGTTTTGGTGACTATAGTTTCCCTTTAATTCTTTCCCCCTTGCATTAAAACCTATTAGGGTCATTATAACCCCCATAGAGTAGTGGCATTTCGCCTAAACATCGAGCAGCCACTGGCTGCTCGCTGTCATTTAAAACTACTAGTGAATGGGCAGCTATTGCTGCCCAGTCACTAGTGCTGTTCCCCCATGGTGGGGAACCCAAATAACAAAAATTGGGGGGACCAAATAGTTTGGGGACCCCTAGTCACTTGTGGGGGGGGAGGGTATTGTGAAAGACCGCCTGGCACCCCGACCGGGTACCTCCGTCAATCGCTGCTTCCTAGTACTGGCGAGTACCATAAGCACTGCACTGGAACACCATAACCACCATAAACCCCGCGAACCGCCGCAGCTTGGCTGGGGTCTCGCCGTCCTCCACCCACCCTGGACCCAAGACCAGGATCCAGCTTCCAGTGGGTAGGCCTCTCTTAATCCACAGAGCTAGTGATTAGAGCCCAGGGGAGTATACAGAGTATAGCAATCCCTAGTGTGATTATAGCAGTATCCTCCAATAGGAAACAGAACTCAGTATTAAGGGTGAAGTAAGACAGAAGGTTTAATGGTACAGGTTGGCGTTATATACAACTTTTCAGGCCAGAGGAACACCCACTCGACCTGAAGGGGAAATGGGACCAGGGCCGGCGCTACCATAAGGCGGCACAGGCAGCCAGCCTAGGGCGCAGCAGCCAGGGGGGCGCAAAGTTTGGATGACCTGCAGGAAGGAGGAGCACAGAGCTCCTTCCTCCCACTGGTATTTCTGAGCCCACAGGGATACAGCAAGTGGGTCTCTATGACCTTAGGATTGCACTTGCTGCGAGATGTAGGAGGAGCGCCAGCAGCCCTTCGCTCTTCGCATTGCACAGAGCTAAGGCTGCTGGGATACATGATGTCATATCCAGCAGCCTTATCTCTGTGAATGGCTGTAATGATGTATCAAGCTGCATTACTCATCAAAGTACCTAATGACAGTAAGTCAGTCAGAGTGACTGTGTGTGACAGTAAATGGGTTCATGCCAGTGTGTGTCAGTATATGTGTATCAATGAGTGTGTGTTTGTGTGTTAGACTGTATGTCAATGATGAGTGTGTGTTTATGTGTCAGACTATATGTCAATGATGAGTGTATGTGTATATCAGTGTGTTTGTGTGTGAGACTGCGTATCAGTGATGAGTGTGTGTGTCATTGTCTGTTTGTGTGTCAGATTGTTTGTCAATAACTGTGTGCTTGTTTATGTATTAGACTGTGTGTCAATGATGAGTGTGTGTTTTTGTGTCAGACTGTGTCAATGATGAGTGTGTGTCAGGTTGTGTGTTTCTGTGGCACACTGTGTGTCAATGAGTGTGTCCATTTGTGTGCTTTAATGTGTGTCAGTGATGAGTGTGTGTTGGTACGTGTGCGTTTCTGTCAGTGTCAATGTGATTGTGTTTTTGTGTCCATGTGTCTTTAAAACATCAAGTTTCAAACAAGAACAAGTATATTAACATATGTGTAATATATTAACATAAATAGTATTAGCATATATTGATATTTATATATTTTATGTTTGTAATATATACAAATATTAATATAATACATATACATATGAGGAACACTCAAACATTAAAAGCCACTATATGGTTTTAATGTTTGGGGAATTCCTTAACCCCAGTAGTGCCAGGCTCCCCCCCAAAATATCTGACAGTGAGTCTTCTTTTACTGCTGCTCTGCTCAACCCCTGGCACTATTTCGTGAAGCTACAGGGCCATATAGGAGACCTGTCCTTTACAGTATTTACAGTAGAATTTTGAGAGATGGATTTAATGAGCCTTAGCTTCCATTTGGGGTATTATAACAGTTTGACTGTTCAAAAAACCCCCACAAAGGCCTACCATTTGTAAAAGTAGACACTCCAGGGTATCTCATAAGGTGCATATTGTGCCTTAACATACCCCCATTTTTTCACCAATATATGCCAAAGTATGTGGTAAAAAAATTATTTTGTGCATTTTTTACATACGGATTGCATTTTTGCTGGGCGTTTTGTATATTTCATATGTGCCACTAAGTTCAAACCTCCCAAATTATGCTTAGCTAAGTCTTCTGAGTAAAAAGACACCCCCAATGAATGTCTTTGGCACTATTTCGTGAAGCTACAGTGCCATATAGGAGACCAAGCCATATCCATTTTTACCAAACTTTGAATTTTGACGCTGGGCCTATGTGC